TTTCAAAATTAAGTAAATTTGTGGCCAAAGTGGAAAAAATCTATCGAATACCAATAAATCTGTCAAAATAAAATAAATTTGTGGGCAAAAGAAAAAAATCTATGACAATCTAAATAAATCTGTCAAATTTAAGAAAATCTGTGGCAAAAAAAAATTAAATCTATTGAAAACTAATTAAGTCTGTTAAATTTAAGTAAGTCTATCGCCAAAAAGAAAAAAATTGTTAAGTAAATCTGTGAAATATTTATAAATCTGTCAATATTAAGTAAATTTATGGCCAAAAGAAAATAAATCTGTCTAAAAATAAATATGTGATCACTTTAAATTATGTTTGTCATATGGCAAAACCGTAATTTTTTAATTATTATTTTTTTTCTAAAATGATATTTTTGTAAATAAAGTTTTTTCTAACAAAAGATTTGAGGGTATAATAGGCATGAAAATTTTTTTAGTAATAAAAATAAAATAAGAGTTTGTCTAGTAATTAACCAATAAATAAGTGTCAAACTAGTTTTTTCCCATTTTTTTATGAAATATTATAGGCACATCCAAATCACAAATACATGCGATACGACACCCATGATCAGTTTGAGGATCTCAGAACTATATTTGATGGTACAACTGCCAATGGTAGTAATTCAGTTGGATTAAGTGATACTACAGATGCTCGCACATACCAGATTAGTGAAAATCAAGTAAATTAAACTTGAATTTTTATGAGAGCATCGATGACGTTGATGATGCATCCCCTTTTCTGGATAAAAATATAAAGAATCGTGTAGAGAAGCTTCATCCGAGAAAAAGATCTAGAGGTGAAGGTCGATATCATCTACAAGAATTTAGAGGTGAATGTCGTCATCCCAAAAACCAGAACGAATTATTCAATCTTCGACATGCATCTTTGAGAAATGTGATCGAGAGAATATTTGGTATTTTCAAATCTCGTTTTTTAATTTTCAAATCCGCGCCTCCATTCTCTTTTAAGACGCAAGCAGAGTTGGTTTTAGCTCGTGCTGGATTACACAACTTCTTACGTAAAGAGTGTCGATCAGATGCCTTTCCTGAAGAAGTAATTAACCCAAGCAATGAAGAAAATAATTTTGAAGAGAACATAGAGGTAGGTCCTCTTGAATCTGGAGAAACCATATAGCATCTAGTATGTGGACAGATGCAGTGGGAAGTGGAAGTAACCAATGATGATGAGTATTATTAGCTCTCTTTTTTGTTTAAAGAATAATAAGTTCTTGGTTGGGAGGAACATGATAGCATCTAGACATTTTTTAGCTCACGTGTGATTGTGAGTGTGTGTGTTTTTTTTTTATATATGAATTTGAAGAATCTTATGGGATATCCATGGTATTTTGAAAATTGAGTTCTATGAGTAAAAATGTGTAGAATCCATGTCCCAATAACATGAGATTTTAATAGAATTAGAGAATCAATGGTAACTAAATTTTTTCAATAACAAGAGATTTTATTTAGAATTTAAGAATCCATAAACCAATAATAAAGTATTTCATTAAAAATATCATAATCCATAAACCAATAACAATGGATTCTTAAAATTCTTAAAATCTTGAAGAATCTATCTACCAATAACCCCCCTAAGCACCCATGGTAGATACGTAAATCTCTATAGGGCCATAGATGTGTGCCGTGGTTTCCAAGACAACGTACATTTTTAATTGGTAAATTTCGTAAACGAAGTGGCTTAAGCCTTAAGCCACTCTTGGATCTGAGCATCTATGAAGTTGCCCAGGTAATTGTAAGCAGCTTCCGAGGGATGAATGGAGTCCCAAAACAAGTGATCCGAATGATTCGGACAAGTCTTTGAAAAGGCATTGCACATGAAGCTCGTTTCTAAGTATCCTGTTCCACAACATCCTTTCTTCGTCTCCTTGAATCCTGTTTTGATTCATACGACCATGAATTTTACAAGGCATAAGTGAATATAAGTAGAGATTTTGATTACTTGTGGCACAAGGAAGAAATCATATGTACCATATTTGCTAGGGTTTTGGATCATGTCCATCACAGGATCATAGACATTGGCGTACAGAAACTTGCTTCCTGGTAGAGACGCTTCGATTTGTGGCAATTGCTTCTCAAGTTTCTGATTGTATAAGACTGAGTCTTTGTTCTCTTGTTCCAAGCAAGTTCTGCTCATGACTGTTTGCGATTTGGACGTCATTTGGATCGGCAAACACCCCATCGGCGGCAACCCTCCGACCATAATTTTCCGGCAGCCTAAACCGTAAAGCTCCTACACACACGTAAAAATATGCAAATTGAGAAACCTATAACAGGAAGCAAATATCAAACACGGAATTGAGAGAACGAAGAAATTTCTGAGACATTACTCTGACAAAACCGTCAAGCCTCTTGAGCACAAAGTCTTGGTAACCATAGTTATCAGGAAACTCTCTACGCCTTGTTGGGATATCGTAATAGTTCAAGATGAAATCGTTAGGTCCTGCGCTGATGACCACTAAAGCGTTGTTTATGATTTCCATCGATTTCTTGTCTCCTACGATACCTTTGAGGCGAGCCATGTAATTCTTGAACATGCTTGGTTATTGTGAGACCGGGATGGCCTTGCTCGAGAAAGAAGTCCGGTCATCATAGCCCGCACCCGCGGATGCGAAACAGACTCCGTTGACAATATCTTGGTCGGAGATGTTTGGTTGTAGAAACGGAGGAACAAACTCTTTGATGTTAAGTTTGGTCGCGATGCCGTCAGATATTAGCTTTCCGTTTCAGAATCTTCCGCTCGCTTCGTGGCCGGGAAGATCAACTCCGTAAGGGAGATGCTCAGCCTTGAATACGGCTTGTGAGTAGTAGTTGTTGTTGCCTGTGTCTACGGTTGAGTCGCCAAAGATTAGAATCGAGGGGAAAAACGGCTGCGCCGTAGCGTTTGCAGCCGCGTTGCAAGAAGATACGAAGAGTGTTGCGACGAAGAGACCGAACAATATGCATCTAGATGTAGACATTGTGAAAAATATTTGATCCTTTCGAGTTATTTGATTCTTCTTTTGTTTTTCTTTAGTGATGAAAGATTTTGAAGATTGGGTTTTTAAAGAGCTCGAAGATGATCTTCTGCTCTGTTGGACTGAGTTTGTTTCTGTACCAGGATTTCTGATTTTAAATGTTTGTATTCTTGAAAACAAATGATAAAAATAGGAGCTTTTGAATATTGTAGTCTAATTAAAGATATTACCGAGGCTGCAAAACAAAAAGAATACACAAACTTTTTAATGTCGAAAACTTTTAAAGTTGTTTATAAATTTAATTTTGGTCATGAATTGCTTTTAATTTCAAAGATGCATAACATATACTAACAACACAGCGTGAGCGTAATTAACATTAAAACCAAAACAAAACAAAATTCAACGTGAACGTAACGTATCATGAATGGCATATCAACAAACGCAATATGTAGACTTTTATTCAATAATTATGATCGTCAATAACGTAAGAAAATTGGGTTGCATTACTTCGTTTCGAACTGTTGGGGCATGGGCCTTATAAATGATAATTTATAAATCCCATTTTGCCGAGTTCGGCCCAGGAGTAGCCCGAGCCCAACTCAAGTTCGTTTAAAAACGGTTTGCAGAGTTCGTACTTATCCCGATCACAGAGTACTTATCACCCAGTTTCCGATCACAGAGTACTTATCGCCCAGTTTCCGATCTCAGGATAGATGCTTATTACTCAGTCTCTGACCTCGGAATACCGATCACACCGACCTCGTTATTCAGTCAATTCGCGAAGCACAAGGTTTGTCAGTTTATAAGCTTCCGAGCTCTACATCCTTTAAATCTATTATTTTCTTGTTTTGTATGCTGCTTGTAACCCATTTCCGAACATGTTATCAATAAACGAATTTTCGAGCCTCTTACTGTTTAACAAATATATTGTCGAACTCACGTATCAACAATTGGCGCGCTAAGTAGGGGGCTTGAAATTCTCCAACGCACGATTTCAACTCAGAGATGGAGGACAACCAGACCGAACACAACATTGCCAATCTGGAACTCGATACAAGGAATCACGACCTTTAGACAGAGCCAGTGGTCGTCAAAAACAATACCGACCAAGAAGTACTGGCCGTCATTGAAACCGAGCCCGCCTGGGAAGAAATCGTACCAACCCGACGAACTCAGGATCCAATGGCAGCTATGATGGAGGTCATCATGCAACGATTCGACCAACAGGAAGAACAGGCCCGAAGTACCAATTCGAGGCTAGAACTTCTCGCTACAGCTCAAGCAAACTATCGAGCACAGTTGGATCTGTTAAACCCAAGGTCCGCTCACGACTCACCTCGGACTCAAAAGAGCTCCTCGCCGACCCCTGAACGGCAGGCACGAGCGGAAACGACCGGAAGATTAGCCAACCTAACGATCTGGGCACCTACCGAGCACCCGAGCAGCTCAAGAGCAGCTCGGCCGACCTCCTTACACTGTGACTCGATTTCGCACGACAAACGCTGCATGTTGACGCAGGATCGAGATCCGAAAATCGAATGAATGAAAGCCCGGTTGAGAGATATGAATTCCAAGGTCCATCGCGCAATCAGCTCAGCACCAGAGATTGACCTGTTGCTCGAGGAGGCGCAACGAAATTTATTTACAGCTCGTATAGCCTCCATCCCGATCAGAAACGCGACGAAGCTCAAGATTCCGACCTACGAGGGGGAA